CCCCAAAACCCCAAAACCCCAAAACCCCAAAACCCCAAAACCCCAAAACCCCTATTTTATTGACTAAAATTGAGTAAAAGCCTAGCTTTTAAATAATGAATTGAGACGAGAGACAACCTGGAAGGAAGTTTAGAGAGTAATAGAGGCGTCTACTTCTTCTCTAGTAGCTATCTTATCAAAGATCTGGTACCTCATATGGTAAATCTTCTTGAAAGCATTTCTAATAGTAGCATCAGCTAGCTGGGCTGCTACTGCAATTTCTTTGTAGTTTCTTTTATTCTCAGGTTGGATCTGAGTGGCCATGTACACTGCTACTCCAGCGATGGTGAAAGGGCTTCTACCAGTGAGGTATTCTCCTTTACAGATCGATTCTGCAACTTCTTTACATTTATCCTCAACTATTCCATTAAGCTGAAGTCTGTTGCAAAGTTGAGAGATACATTCACTTGGTTGGAGGTTTGTATTCATCTTAGGGCAAATTTTTCTCAAGATTTGTCTATAGCACTTAGAAAGCTCCTTCTTAGAGATCTGAGCGGTGTTTAATATATCCTTCATGTTCTTAGGGAGTTTCGACTTTCTGCTAGCGATCATGATAACGCTGGCTACTTTGAGGATCATCTTCTTTCCTTTTAATCTACGACACTTTAGAAACTCCAAAACCCAGAACATTCAAACCAAATGGGACAATGCCAGAAGCCGGTGAAAATTCTCGAAATATTGTCCAATAAATTACAAAATCCAAAATAACAATCACCTCTAAAACCCCTCAAAAAGTTCAAATCCTACCAATTTTCATGATCTTCTACTAAATTATATAGCTCTCATGCATCAGCTTCAACACTCTTGGACGCATGAATATTGGATCACAACTCCTTAATAGCCGCCCATCCTCTCATCTTATTCTTATCCTTGGCATTAGCACTGATCCTATTATTACTATTAATAAGCTTAGTATCTCCGATACCAGTGATCACAGTAGAGAGGCCTCCGTTATCCAGATTGTTATTAACAGGGCCTCCGACTCTGTTCATGTCTGCTCCGTTGCCTTCACTTCCAAAGTTCCTCCACTCGCTGGTCTCATCGATCAGGTGGATTTCTTGTATGGTGCCACAGGATTTGCAGACTCTTTTGCCCTCAACATGGTGGGTGACAATGGAGTTTACTGCTTTGCAGTCAGGACAGACTGCTTCTAACTTACGTTGCCTGTTAAGGCTTTCGGTGGTTAAAGATGAGTTCATTAGGATTTGACCGTGTAAGTTGTCTGAAATATTATAAACACAATTAGAATACTTTCTTATGGGGTTTTGGGGTTTTGGGGTTTTGGGG